ATATTTAAATACAAACACATGCATGTATATATTTAAGAAAAATATGTTATGTTTATATATTAAATATATTTATATATAATATAAAATATAAGAATATAAATATATAAATGTATATACATGTAAATATTTTCAATATATATACTGTATGTGTGTGTTTTTATATATACATAATAAATATACACAGTACACACATATATTATGTAAAAAAAAACTTTGATTTTGAATGCGATTAATCTCGATTAATCATTTGACAGCACTAGTAATTAGTTACTTTTTTAGGGAGTAACACAATATTGTAATGCATTACTTTTAAAAGTAACTTGTTATCATCTGTTTCTATCCATTATCTGCTATGAATTTCTCCTTTTGTGTTCCACGAAAGAGGAATAAAGTCATAAGAGTTAGAAAGACATGAGTGTGAGTGAACGATCATTTTTGGATGAACTATTTCTTAATTTTTTAACACATCTGTTGAAATAGAAATTGTTGCATGTTCTCAATCACATTTAAATATGAGAGATGATGTAGTGCATGATCCATGCATGTTCATTTGAACAAATTTGCACGGTGTAAATGGTGTATATGAATATCTTTATGCAGAGTACAAGACTACTATAAGTCTCTTATCTCTCATGCTGGGGAAATGCTGATTATTATAGATTGTGTTTTGAAAAACACATTCAGAGTTCATTGTCTTTCACCATTCCTTATTGAGATATGACAAATGCTGAATGGTGATTTGATTTGATTTCTTTCCTGTTCTGCACGCCATCATAATCTTCGGTGTATGAGAGCGTGGAACTGTATGGACATCATGGATCTGTCAGCAGCAATGTATGTATCTGTGTACTAAAGAATCCTTATGAGTATGACATGTTTTTAGCATGCCGGTAATGTGGTCCATGCTTGATTGAACTTGTACAGTCATGATCAACAGCAACCATGCATGCTCGTTGTAACCACTAATGTTTATGCAGCTTCACCCTAATTAGTGCTCTATAAACCAGAAGGGTTATATCCACATTCAGTGGCTTCTTTCAGACAGTCAGTGAGCAATATTATTTTACATACTGAAATGTTTGGATAAGGCGTTACAGAGTGACCCGCACGCATGGCTCACCTCCTGAGAGGCGGGACAATGCAGCTCTAATGGGGCTCATGCAGTCTGAAATGCAGCTCTATTGTCTAGGAGAGCAGAAAAATCATCCAGAGACTGAAACAGATGATTTATGTTGCTTGTCTACTGTCAGGAGCTTTCTGCCAAGGAATGGTCTCACAGAATCACGTTAAAAGGCCCTCACCTGAAGAATGGCAACTCTCCCTGGACCCCCATGTTTTATTTTTACAGTTGCTTGAAGAGTGCTATTTGGGTTTAGGTTACTTCTTGCGATGGCTTGACCATGAAGAGTTTTGTCTCACTTAGAATTGCAGCTAAGGAAAGAGCCAGTCTCAGCACCAAACAAGAGAAATGAGAAGCTCTTTCAGCTCTGTTCAGTCAATATTTGTCTGTGTAAACCACAATATAGTTGTGCTGATTTTAAAAATATAATAATACTGAACACAATCCACTGTTTATCTTGGCAAGGACATAACTGGATTGATTCAGAGTGCTTGTTTACTGACTGAAGCACTAAGGTCACGTTCACACAGCAGCAGAATATGATTGTCTGGCCTGTATTTTAGTGTTTAATACAGTTACACTCTTACCTTGTTTTGTTGTTTATGAGAGTTAACCAAACTCATACCCATACCTTTTCAGGACTCACAACTGCATTTTTGGTGAACTGTAGAGGACAATTAATTCTACTTTACACTGCACATATCTTGTGTGTTTTCATCTGTGGTTTTGCTGACTTATAGACAGAAATTTGAGCTGTGTTTTATATTGATTGGTTTGAAAGCACAGTTTACATAAGTGAATACTTAAAAAAACCCTAGAAAACAAAACGATAACAGATCTAAGATAAAGCACCACTGATCACAACAGGGAGAAATTCATTAGAAGGGTGCAATGAAGTTTACTTCACATTATGTTGCATTAATTCAGGTGGTTTTTGCATGTGGAATAGTCTTTCACTGTATTGTCTAAATCTTGTTTTGTTAAGCCTTTGATATTTTCACCTCTGACATGCAGGTACTTAAAAAAGAGCAGCCTCAGTCTGAACCCAGAAGTTTCTGGGATGTTCTAAGGCTTGGTGCGAGAATAGTTCTCTTTTCAGATCTGATGGAGGTACAAGTATCCTCAAGCTCACGTTTTCTCATTCGAATCTCGACTCGTATTACCCTTGGCCATTCCCTGTCCCCCATCCCATGTGAGGTTCTGCCCATTGTTTCATGTTTTCTTTTCTTTTTGTGGTATCACCATTTTCATTCATTAATGTCTGTACACTTCATGTTGTTACAGTTAGATATTAATAGATAGTTCAAGACCTTAAAATGCATATTAAGATAACTGAACTGCACAACAAAAGATATTTGGTTTTATTTATGCATGTCAATAAAATTATTGTTTGAAATCAAATTATTGTTATTATATGATATTGATGATATCTAGAATATTATGATAATGCAAGTTTCCAAAATACTTTGTAGTTGACATTTTGAGACTTTAGTCTTTGCAACTTCAGGAATCTTATCTATACACAATCAGCTTGTAACACTCCAAAGAGAAAGGAAAACTTGAAATCACATCATATGACCCCTTTAAGGCATCTTTGTAAAAAGACTATGAGATAGATACAGTATGCCTCTTGTTTTTGTAATGATACATTGCTGCAAAGGAGCATTGAGGTATATCTTGTATGCAGATTTCTGCACGAGCAACCTGTTGTTTGCGTGGCATGAGATGATGTCGGCTGCTCCATGATGTGTCTTTGTTCTATCAAACATATTAACTTTCCAAGACTTTATAGATAGGAATAGTTCATCCAAAATGAATTCTGTCATCATTTACTTGCCCTCATGTTGTTCCAAATCTGTGATTTTTCATGCAGTTCTAGTTTACATTGAATGTAGGGACAGGAGTAAGATGCAATAAGCACTATAAAAATATCTCAAGAATGTGCTAAGGAGAGCTAGAGTAACATCATGAGTGTGAAAAAACGATGACAGAAATTTCATTATCCATTTAATCACTATTCACAGCTAGCTGAAGGGCACCAAATCAAAGGACAATTATTTATGTGTGATTTTAAGATGTATGATAGAGATTTAGCTTTTTTCAAGTCTGATCTCAATTGTCAATTGCTTTTTAATGAATCTTTTTATATTTTTCTTTGCCAATTTACATTTATTTGTGTTTGTGTCTGTATCTGTGTTGTATATGTTGTGATATGTTATGTTTATGGCTGTACAGTAATATCCTCATCAAGCTATTTTTGTGTACACTTATTCTGTGACAAATTTTGCTCCCTTATTCAGTTTTTACAGCTGAATAATGTGTTTTCGTAATTTGCTTTCACAGCACGAACCAGAAAATGTCACCTACACAACTCTGCTGGTGCATTTCTTTGGAAGAAAGGGCAAAAGTGAACTTAACTTTGATGACTTCTACAGGTAATTCCATGACTGTGACCCAAATCTAGGCTGCTGGATTTTAAGTTTCTTTAATACAGCCTCAGGTTTCTTCAGACTGTTTTTATACATGTTATTAATGCATGACCCTTAAGAAGGAGTATGAATGGCCTGAGGCCGTCAGTGAGGATGTTGTATTGGTTTTAAAGCATGGTCCAGTCACTTAGTCTAGTGTCCTACTGAGCGAGTGATGGCATCTCCTCTTAACACAGTGTGTCACGCTCTGTCGGCAGATTCATGGACAACCTGCAGACAGAAGTCCTTGAGATTGAGTTCCTCAGCTATTCCAAGGGAATGACCACCATCAGTGAGGAAGACTTCGCTAGGATCCTGCTGCGTTACACCACAGTGGAAAACATCACAGGCTACCTTGAGAATGTGCGTCAAAGCATACCCGATGAGAAGGTAATACATTTGCTCTGGACACACACACACACACACACAATGTCTGGTTTGCTATCCTTGTGGGGACTCTCCATAGGCGTAATGGTTTTTCTACTGTACAGACCGTATATTCTATTGCCCTACACCAACCCTACACCTAAACCTACCCCTTACAGGAAACTGTGCATTTTTAGATTTTCAAAAAACTTCATTCTGTGTGATTTATAAGCTTGTTTACCTGTGGGGACCTCAATTTAGGTCCCCACCGTGACATGAGTCCCCATGAGTCTGTGTGTATTCAGGTTTAAGTCCTCACCAGAATAGAAAAACAGGTACACACACACACACACACACACACATTCACCACCATCATGACTCAGGAAAATCAGAAGGCTTTCCAATCTAGCGCTATAGTCACCACATTAAAATTTTATGGCAATTTGCATTTTTTGCCATCAAAATGGTAAAAAATATTGTAATTAAACACATTGTTATTTTTGTACAACAACTTATCTAACATTATGTTATGAAAGTGTGATTTCTGAATGTTCTTGGAACATTCAAAACATTCCTTTTTTAAAATTTTTATAGTTTTGCATTATGGGAATGTTAATGAAATCTGAAATTAGTAATATTTTAAATAATGAATGTCCAACTAAAATATTTAAGAAAAGCATAACATGAACATTGCATGTATAAATAATGTGCTAATGTTTTGAGAACAACAGACCAGCTTTAAACAAACGTTCTATAAACATTACTAGAAGAACTTTTGCCCGTAACTTTCGGAGAACCTTTCCAGAACATTAGCCAAAGGAGCTAGATTGGTATGAACTTAATACTTTTTCAATCACATCAGTTTGTCACATCAATATTTCTACTCCTTTACCTTTATCTAAGTTGATATGGTTGGTATTCAAATCACTGCATAACAAAACAAATACCACCACATAGTAGAGAGTGACAGATATTTATAATCTGAGTGATGCTGGTGTCTTTTTTTCTTTAGGTTGTTTCCCTTTTTGCACATTGACCCTCACATTATGAGGTTAGATTCTTTTCAGCTACTCAAAGAGGCTGTTGGTGGATGGCCATTGCTATATAAGTGGTTTTTATTCTTAAGTTAAGAGATACTGCAATACAGCTTAACTTGTAAGACCATCAAAGCGTCACATATTACTCATTAGATCATTTGTAAAACGGTTGTTGTTGGTTGCAAGAGAGGCTTCAGAAAAAGACGTGGGTCTAGTGCCTGGAAATGGATGAGTGGAAATCAAAAGGGCCGCTGTTTGGGTAATCTGCTAGCGCTGAGATATTTTGGACACATCCCCTTTTGTTTTTATGTATGCAAGTATCAGGTTAATCTTCTTTAGAAGAGTCGACAAGCTACCCGACCTCTCCTTAAACAAAACAATCTAAAGGTGTCGACAGCTCAAGTTGTATAGGAGCAGGAGATATGTGTGCTGGGATTGTTTGACTTTGCTGTTTTCTGTCTTGGGATCTGTTATCGCTCTTCAAGGTCCCACAGACACTTAAGGTGTCCTCCTGGTTGGAATAGTGTGGCATGATGCAGTATTGTCTTGTTTGTGTTGCATTTATTATTCTGAGACCATAGCGATATATTTTGATATTCATCATTTTATGTACTAGCTCTCTGCATGAGTGCTGTCATATTATAATGATTCTGACTTAATTATCTTTCCTTTGCCCAAAGGTTCCTCTTAAAAGGAACATTGCTGATTGCATCTGATTTAACACTGATCTTCTCTTCTAGGGCATCACGTTTGAAGATTTTAGGACCTTTTTTCAGTTCCTCAACAACTTAGAGGATTTTACCATTGCCATGCAAATGTACAACTATGCAAATCGCCCAATTGGACAAGGTAAACATATAAGCCATTCATATAATCCATTTACTCCTGAAACGCTTGTGGGTAATGATGTTTGGTTCTCACAGATGAGTTTGCACGTGCGGTCTATGTGGCCACTGGCCTGAAGCTGTCACGACATCTCGTGAACACTGTTTTCAAGATCTTTGATGTGGACCATGATGACCAGCTGAGCTACAAGGAGTTCATTGGGATAATGAAGGACCGGCTGCATCGTGGCTCCTGGGTAAATATGGGGGGAAGTTGGATGGTTTTCTCCAGTTGTTTAAATGCCATTTTTCCAGCTTTCACAGCAATAATGGCAGAGTTATGATCCACTGGTGAGCCTTAAAAACAGGTTTCTGAGATCTAAATGGAGAAAATCGGGTAGTTCAGAAATCTGGTTTGAAATTTTGAATTGACACATGGCATTAACGTTTGTATCTGGGAGAGATTTGTTTGTGTTTTTAATATGCAAACCAACTGTTAGTCACCATAACATATTTCGGTTTGACAGGATAGATTTTTTTAAACACATTTAAAAACTCAAATTCAAGTTAGTCATTATTATTGTTGTACTGTTGTTAATAGATTTAATATTAATATTATTACACTAACATTAAATTGTTTGGAGTCAGTAGGCTAAGTTTTTTTTATAGATATTAATGCGTTAATTTAGCAACGACACTATAAATTAATCAAAAGTGACAGTAAAGACTTTAACATTGTTACAAAGAGATTATAAGAGACTTATTTTCAAAAATCTTAGACCCCAAACTTTTGTACATACAAACCCTATATTGCTGCCTTTCATATTGTTATTTCAACAAAGTAAATGCTTCTTGAGGGTGCAATTTTGCTGACATCTAGTGGCCATTTATTGTTCATCTAGTAGTCTCGTCAACTAAATGTCAACATTTTGAAGATAATGTTTCTATTGATGACGTAAACCCAAATTATCCTTTATATTATCCACATGAACCCAGGGATATAAAGGTGAAGAGAGATTCACATCCTTTAAAGCCTGCATGAAGAAGGAACTCACTGCTAAATAGGTAAGTTCATGAAAAAAATGAAGTGGGTATTATGCAGTGTTTTTAGTTTGGCTTCGTGGTATTGCCTTGGAGAATTCCAAATTAATGATACTGAAGTACAGCGCTAGCACTGCTCAGCATTCAGCCAAAGCTCTTTCTCCAGTATCAGATTACTCTGTAAAATTAATGGCTGCTATCCAGAGACACAAGATACCAGCCTAACACAGTGTATTAGGACTTAACACAGTAATAGAATACAGTGCCCAACCCACAAGAAAAGGCTTAACACTATAAAACACCTAAAACAGGGAGCAATTAGACTTACTGTGGGAATATTTGCAGTTTGAGTGAAAGAAGCAGGTGTTGCTATTTTTATAAAGCACTTTGTATTCAAAGTATCACCTGTTGGATTCAGTTATGATGTAAATAAATCATCGTTTGATATGCCGTCCGTCTCTGTCTTTGATTTGTGCAGGCGAAAGTCCCGCTGAGTGTTTCTCTTCACCCTCACATCACACTGAAGAAATCTCAAGTTGGATTAAAGTTCTCAGTGACTCGATGCAATTATCTACCTAACCTGTGTCAAACTCTGTAAGATACAAATACTGCCATAATTAGATTAACACATGCTACCTCCCTAGACTGTAGTCACAGCTTTGTCACTCGGCTGGCACTTTCTGAACTCTTTAAAAGCCATTAACTAAAAGGGATAACACTTTAATGAAATAGCCATGATACTTTTATTAATCAAAGAGTTATTTATTAAAGTTCTTATAAATTTAAATGGGCCCAGTGCCCACATTTTGGGATAAATTATGTTGTTTAATGATTTACAAAGTATTGTCTTTATTTATGATGACATATTACTTCATAAATTTAAAGGGAACTGTGTTGAAGTGAAAAGTGCTGAATTCTGATGGCGTGTACAGTTATATATTCTATTTATTGATCTATTTTGTGTAAAGAAAAGGTTCTCTTGGGTTTTAATGCCTCTGTAGTTCTGTATTGGCAATGCATTGTTCTTTTTGCTTCTCTAGGAGTTATAAGCCAGATAATCTTTCCTTACAATGAGCACATTGCTAACATAGTTTCTCTGAGCCCACCACCCAGATCAGCTTACACAGGGTCTGACAGTGCTGAGTGCACACAGTAATAATGAGTCCTCAGTCCTGATCTCACAATGTGCTACACATACAGATCCCTCTCTCCACCTCTCATGAGTTTCTTACACTGCCGCTGCTTTAAGAAACATCTTGCGAAGCCAAAACAACAAACGAGAAGAAACTGAATCCCACTGAACTCTAATCAGGCCTGGTTTCATGTAGGTTTAGAGATATGATATCCATCTCTGTGAATCATTTTATAATGGTTTTAACTGACCTATCTTCAGAATTCTGACAGTGCTTTAGACTTAAGTTATTTTTGATTGTTCTTTTAGGTGATTAAGCATATTACAGTGTGCGGTTTTTATTATCATTGTCATAAGTAACATTATAGGGGAAGCCAGGGCTAGTTGTCACACATTACTCTAGTGAATAATTCTCAGGGTGTTTATTTTTTTCAACATCTGTGCAGATATTTTTAAATCATTGGCAACAAAAAGCTTTTGAACATTACCACCATTATTGTAAAAAAAAAAAAAAAAAGGCATTTGTTTATCTGGACATTTTACTCAGTTTTATTATTAACTTTTGTGATAACTGCCTTGTGTGACAATTAGCTCCAGTCTCACCATGCTTTTCTACAGAATATAGGCCATGTTTTAGAGCTTTAAAACCTAAAATAGCTTATTTCATTATCTGTTTCATGTAAAAGAAATTAAAACCATCTTTTTCGGTCTTTTTGACTTCTATATTACAGTGTGCATCTGTCATTACCATTATGTGAAGTATACTTTTTATGCATTAGTATTCAGATTGCTTAAAAGGTTTGAATAAATTTAAAAACCACAATCAGAATAATAATTTGTGTCATTTCTGGTCTGTGCTTTACAAAAAATTAACCATGGTTTTACTGTATTAAAAATGTAACCATGTTTGTTTGGTATATTGATTACCATTTGTATAACCAAAGTTTTACTGCAAATACCATGGTTGAACTATGGTTAGTGTAGCCAAACCATGGTTAATTTGTGGTTACCATGGTTTAACTATAGTAACCATGGTTTTTGGTTTTATTTGTAGTAAAACCATGGAATGGTTGCTTGTGTCAGAAGACATGTCTATAACTAATAGACCTACAGTGTTATTATTAATATTTGTTTATTTAAACACGATGAAGCCATTAAAAGATTTCGGGGTTCCTCAGACAAGCAAACCGGCTTTGGCTTGTTTAAGCTGTTTATATCAGCAGAAAATGAACTACTTAATGTGTATTCACACATTTTTATCACTATATTATTTAATTATAGTGTAACATTGTAGAATGTTATTGAACGCTGGTCTGGTGTGACATTTTTAATCCTATTTTGTAGTGTGAGGACACATTGCTGTATCAGTAACATTTTAAATATACTAGATATAGAAAACCTTTTCTAAATTATAGCAGACAAACCTATGGTGATGATACAAGCCGGCAGAATCAGGCTTTAGTGTAGTAATACCTCCACTGCATCGCGTGAGCGTCGTGTGAGTTTGTAGAAAGGGGCGGTACCGATGTGCTACACTGCAAACAAGAGCGACCGGAGGATGGAGGAGCAGACGAAGCACAGCTGTACGCGGAAGACGATATGATGTTTTAGAAGCAGTGCGGGCTCGGTGAGGCTGAACTTGTCGTTTTAGACACTTTTGGTCATCAAATAGAAAGATGGCGCCGTTGGGCTCGCATAGCGTTGACTGCTGGAGAGTTTTATACTGGATCCCTGTGCTGTTCATCAGTCTGATCGTGGCATGGTCCTACTACGCGTATGTAGTGCTGCTCTGCATAGGTAAGACTGGAAGCAGCTTTCTGAATGAAGTTGGAGTGAAACGGCGAGAGAATGAATAAATAACACCTGGCTTCGACCATGTGTTATGCATATGTCTGCTTCTCTTACTAGAACAATATCTCTGCTATTGAGGGAGTCCATTTGCTTATAAACATACTGACCAAGAGTGGGTCATGATTAGTGTCAAGTGGTATGAGATTAATTTATTTAACCTCTCTTTATATGCCCATGTGTTTCTGAAAGTGTCTATTAGAGCCCTTAATATTACAATATTAAGCATGTCTCTGCATCTTAACTACAAAACTGGAAACATATATGGGTCAGTGACTAATAAGGATCAGGATGCATATGTGAGATTAAAAAAAGGATCTTTTTAAAAATACATAAGCCAAGTTCCTAAAAATGTAATATTTGTATTCTGTTAGTTTCATACATTTTGGAAAAACATACTATTTAAAAATCATCAATTAAAAAGTACAAACACATCTATCTATCTAGTCTCTGTTTCTCTGATGTTACAAATATCATGCATTTTTGAAGTCATGAATAAGTAGTTTATTAGTAGTTAACTATTTTGTATAAATGCTGTTCTTTTTAACTTTTTATTCATCAAAAAATCCTGAAAAAAAGTATCACAGTTTCCAAAAAAATATTAAGCAGCACAAACTGTTTCCAACATTGATAATAAATCAGCATATTAGAATGATTTCTGAAGGATCATGTGACACTGAAGACTGGAGTAATGATGCTGAAAATTCAGCTTTGACCACAGAAATAAATTACAGTTTAACATGTAGTCACATAGAAAACAGCTGGTTTAAATTTTAATAATATTTGACAATATTACAGTTTTTTTCTGTATTTTTGAATAAATAAATGCAACCTTGATGAGCAGAAGAAACTTCTTTAAAAACAATAGAAATCTTACTGATCCCAAACTTTTGAACAGCAGTGTATATATATATATATTTATTTATTATATATATATATTTTACAAACTCAAGTGTAGGGTCCAGCCTCTGTTTTATGGTTTTCTTGTCACATGACGACAATAGCTTTCTTCATGTTGGTTATGCCACATTGACCTTTGAATTACTGGACAGTCTTTTAAATATTAAGAAAATTTAAAAACAATTTTTAAAAATAAATAATAATACAATTTTTAATGAAACATTTTTTGTTGCAATCTCAGGACAGTTAACACCACATTTTTTACTTTATGCCCCACAAATATTAATAATACTAGTAATAATTCAGAAACTGCAATGTATTCCTACATCCAGTCAAAAAAGCATGATGTCACTGACCCATATACAATACTTTATATAGCAATTTGGCATTACTCTATAGCTACTCCATGTTAGTCATTAAGACCATCATAAAAAAAACTTCTTCTCTCCCAGACAGTGTTTTGTTGCTGTAAACAACTGTAAAAAATATCTTCAAACTTTATGTACTGTGTCATTTGTTTAGACTGTGGCTTATTTATGTGTGCGCAACAAGCAAAGGTTTGTGTTCACATTAACTTCAGAACATCATTCACTCCTTTGATAACATCTGCTATCATGGTTCCATAAAACAGCATGAAGTGGCTTTATTGTTCTCTTGAGTGGTGGATGATCATGAGGATGCCCTGTTTTTCACTGAAGACTAATGGTTTGTGTGTTTGAACTCCTTTTAATAGAATCAAATGACATTCAAATATTTGTGCATAAAACAGCAGCTTTGTGATGTTCCTCAGAGACTTCACTGAGTGAAGCGTCAGTGGCCAGGCCTCACTTCTGACTGCTGTTCACACTGGCAGTTCATACCAGTTTATGCTGAACCACAAACAGTGGGTCTTCGCATGCTTGCTTTGTACTCAAACTGAGCACTTGACTCCAGGATGACAGAATGAAAACCATGAAGGCTTTATTGTCTGAATTTGAAAGCTGCTAGTTTGCATTGGTTCAGTAGGATTATCTAGTTGGCTCATTGCAACAAGCATGTGAATAGCCAAAACCATTACAAACAGTATTGGTTTAAAAGATTCGTTAACTTATTAATACTGTCTTTGCATCTATCTTAGCAAGCCATGGTAATGAGAGGTCAATGAGTCTTTACCGAACCTTAGGTGACAAATGTTGTTATGAACGTACTGTCTACTGATCCTTATGTCTCAAAGCTAATCTCACCGCCAAGCTGTCAAACCCAACCTCACCAATCTCTACTTGACCTATTTCTGCTGTCAAATCACTTGTGCTGCACACTGAGTTTAGCAACAAACACATTTGACATTTCTTAGACAGCAACACTGACACCTTCAGGGAAAGAAACTGTTTAATTTTTGAAATTGCTAATAATGTATCTTGTCATCTGTTGATGATTTTTATTACACTAATGGAGAAGGGTTATATACCAGTAGACTTTAGTCAGAGTAGCACCATGCTGACAGGATTGAAAATGAGGCTGTGAAGGGATAGAAGTACAGTGTGTTTAAAAGGCACCTTTTATGCAAAATTCACTTTTACATGTTCGTTGAACATAAATGTGTGTTGGCAGTGTCAGTGTGTGTACACAACCACCCTAGAATGATAAAAATCCACCTGCTCCTTTTTTAACCCCTGTAAATCAGAAGCAGTGTCTCAGAATGAGCCGTCTGCAGAATCTGTAAAAAGTGACATCATATTTTACAAGCCCCGCCCATGACTGTTGACAGACACCCCGCCCTGAGTGAGCCGCACACAATCCGTCATGTTTATCTGCATGCTAGAGCATTTAGAAGCAGCACTCAAGTAAGAAATGTCTTCTTATTAAAGCTCCAAAATTTATTCAGTCTAGAGCAGTGAGTGATTTTCCGTTGTTATTTTATTGTTTGGGTCATATTAACAGCGTAGACAGCAGTAGATACTGTGTATTACGCTGCTTTCACTTAATTTTTAGCATAAACTTGTGTGTATTTGACAGTTTAAGTGCAATAAGACATGTAAGTGAACTTAGTTTAGTAACTTGCATGCCGTGTGACAGCTGCTTTCTGTGCGCGTGCATTCAGAAAACCATATGTCTCAAAAGTTTAAACTGATATGGCTTTAAAACACATGATTTCAGCGCGATAGACATGATAATCAAAACAAAACAGATGTTTTTTTAGCAGAGTATCTGAGGTGCTAGCTGTAAAGTCACTGTTCTATTCTGGAAAAGGGGCGGGGAATAGCAGCTCATTTGCATTTAAAGATACAGGCATGAAAACAGCGTGTTTCTGCTTCCACTCCAAATAGGCATTTTAAAAACGATATTATAAATGATCTGTGGGGTATTTTGAGCTGAAATTCTAGAGACGTATCTTATAAATAGGGGCATATTAGGTGCCCTTTAATGGAGTGTACAGTTGTTTAACAACATACAGATTATTCAGCTGACAAATGTCTTTCCAAAAAAAAAAAAAACGTATAGTTAACACAGTCTCCATAACACATAGTGAAATGTGATCTAGGAGTTTTATACAGCGTATGCATTGTTAAAACTTTAAGTCTATCCCTCACAGCCTCATTTTAATCTGTGTTAAATTAAAATGGTGTCTCACCTGACTAAGGTCTATGACAGGGTGTTATGATAATGACCTTTTTACAGTATATAATGTGCACGCTGACTTGCAGTAATTCTTTACTTGCCTTTTTGAGTGCTCCCTAGGGTACACATACTCAATTAAAATATCTGTTTGGAGATGCACTGCATTCTGGGATTTCATTTCTGCTCTGTGCTTCAGAGGAATTACAGTTTTTTACTTTAGTGCCAGGCACTATCATCTTTGAAAGAGCATATTTTGGATAGAGAGTAGTGCAGCCCAACCACATTAAATAAGAGGATAATCTAATGAGGCTTTTAGGACACTGCAACTTCACAGTAAACTTAAAGAACTAGATATTTATTGAAGAAACTATATGCTTACTCTAAAAAAAAAAAAAAGGTACAAAGCTGTCACTGATGTGGTACCTTCTGTGTCATCTGTGAGGGTGGTTGTGTCTTGTTTTTGAAACTGAGCTATTTTCCTGTGTGGTTGTGGTTAGTATCTCTAACCTCGTCACCACAATATAGCTTAATGTTCTGAAAGCACACCAGTTGAAGAGATGCAATTATGAGCTAGTGAATTTTGGGCATCTGATCAAGAGTCTCCGTACAGCAACAGCGATCAGAGAACTGTGCTGAGAACCATCTGCTGCTCACTGACCTTCTATGAAATGCACAAGGAGTTTCTGACCCACTGTTTATACAATAATAGCCAGTGCAGAATTCAAATCATACAGCATTAACAAAGTTGTAGAGAGAAAGTTACTTTTCTCTTTCTCTTTCCTCTGCAGATACTATTGAAAACATGGGAGAGAAAAGTAAGTCAGCTTTTTGTTACAGTGTTTTTACTTGTTGGAAATGATTTTTGCATTTTCTAAAGAAAATGTAAGTGGGTCTTTTAATGTAGGCTACCATTCAAAGGTTTGAAGTCAGTAAAAAAACTTTTATGTAGCAAGGAAGCTGCGCAACCATTTTCAACATTGATAATACTCAGAATTGTTTCTTGAGCAGCAAATCAGAATATTAGAATGATTTCTGAAGGATCATGTGACTTTGAAGACAGGATGCTGAAAATTCAGCTTTGCCACCACAGGAATAAATGACATTTTAAATCACAATTTCACAATATTACTGTTTTACCATATTTTTGATCAAATAAATGCAGTTTTGGTGAGCATAAGAAACTTTAAAAAACATGTAAAAAAATCTTACTGACCCCAAACCTTTGAACAGTAGTGTAAGTCAATGGGATATTTTCACCCATATTTTCATGTGTGTGTGTGTGTGTTTTTAAATTATTATTTGCCTGCTGAA